CTCTTTGGCATGCATTAGCATTGACAGATACATTGCCATCACAAAGCCGCTGACCTACAACACGCTGGTTACCCCGTGGAGACTTCGAATCTGCATACTGATCATTTGGCTGTACTCCTGCCTGGTCTTCTTACCCTCCTTCCACTGGGGAAAGCCTGGATATCACGGGGATGTGTTTCAGTGGTGTGCCAATTCCTGGAACACCGATCCCTATTTTACCCTCTTCATCGTGGTGATGCTCTATGCCCCGGCTGCTTTCATCGTCTGCTTCACTTACTTCAACATCTTCCGCATCTGCCAGCAGCACACCAAGGAGATCAACGAGAGGCGAGTGCGCTTCAGCTCTCAGGATGGGGAGGCTGGGGAGGCACAGCCTTGCCCGGACAAGCGCTATGCCATGGTTCTTTTCCGCATCACCAGTGTCTTCTACATCCTCTGGTTGCCCTACATAATCTATTTCCTGCTGGAGAGCTCCAATGTCTATAGTAACCGCGTTGCATCCTTCTTGACCACTTGGCTTGCCATTAGCAACAGTTTCTGCAACTGTGTCATTTACAGTCTCTCCAACAGTGTCTTTCAGAAGGGGCTTAAGCGTCTCTCGGGGGCTATTTGTGCCTCTTGCGCTAGACAGAGGGTAGCTAAGGACTCCTCAACCTCTAGGAGCAAAAGATCTTCCAATGGATGTCATGTCTAAGACGCCTGTCGGCTGGACTGGGAAGTGCAGGGACAATTCCGTAAATTGCAAAATAAGTTAAATATGATTTTAAGATGTCCAGATTTGCAAAAAGGTTTCTGAGAAATGCTGCTGACATAGAAGAATCAGGAGCACATATCATTGTGATTTCACTTTTAAAAAAAAAAAGATTGCTGTGGAGGAGGCTGTGGAGTTTCACCTCCATATTTGTTTTTAAGAATAAAGCTGTATCTTGACACTTACCTCTCCAGCTGGTGTGACTGAATGGAGTGGGTGTCTGAGAGCTTCGGCAAAATGTAGTCTTTCTTACAGCTTTACTAGGTTCTTTCGAGATTCGTGCTTCACATGTAAATGATAGATCTGAAGTGGAAATGTCACAGTGTATGGTATATTACAGGGATTTTTTTTAACATATGCCAAAGTATATTGACACAATGTTCCAGCATCATAACAGAAGGGTCCAAACAATTTGTTTTTCAGTGCTACCTAGACAGGACTTCTAGAACGGTAGTGAACGATGTGAACATTTTAGTGCGAACTTAAAGTCTTATTGAGCCATGAGTGCAGTGATGTGATCTGAACAGTCGTACGCTTAGGAGGAACTGATCTGGCTTCCGTGCTCCGTTTCTCTGGTAGGATGCATGTATGCGATCAGAGTACAGCATCTGCATTTTCCTGTTCGTTGTGAATTAAGAAGAAAAACTTGGATCAGACCAAATTTAGCAGTTAAATAAAATGCGGTTTGATAAGCTAAGAGAAAATACATGTCGCTTTATGATACCAGAGTTGTGGTAGCCACTCGAGGATGACGCCAACATGTGAAAATTATTTGCAAACCAGTGGCGAAATGCCACAGTTTTGTATGTGGAAATTTTCTCAAGAACAACTTTAAAAATAACATGTTCCCCCCCACCCTTTTTTTTTTTTTTTTTAAATCTAAATTCTTCTGATATTTTACATACTAGAACTTAAGGGGAAAGGAAAGAAAACAATTGTCTTCTGAACAGCTAAGGGAACTATGTTGTAAATTTAACTGTAGTATTTGAGTTATTCATAAGTGCACAGAGCTAAATCAGAGACATTTTTCTTTAGCCTTTGTGGGATTAAAGATGGTTCGAATATAGCAGGAGCTAAATCCTGTTGGCAAACGCATATCTAACTGGTCAAACAGTCGGTGTCTGAGGAACAAAGTCTCACTGACCACAGCTTTTTCAAGCTAACTTATATTAAATATTTTTGAGTACTGTAATGCTGTTAAGAAGGCAGCATAGCCCTCAAATTGATTAGTTTTCCCAAAGAATATCTTTGTCGTCTTACCGATGCCATATTGGAAAATAGAAGTGAACCATGTATTCCTGTACCAGTGGGTTACGGTCTGCATCGTCTTATCTCACACTGTCCCTGGTACAGGGATGTCCCCCCGCCACACCTCTGGTCTGAGAGCAGGTTACGTGCCATGACCGTCCGCAGCTCGCTTCCTTCGTTGTGCTTCCAGTCAGTGCGTTGGACTGCTGTGAGCCTGGGGAATTCTGTCAGCTCCTGTGGTACGGTTGGTGTGTGCTGTTTGTTAGTCATGGTGGGAATGAAAGAATACTAGGGAAAAGTAATTTGATTTTTTTTTTCTTTTTTTTTAAAGAATTGGGGTAATTCTCTTGGCCAAAGGGAAGACTCTGTATTTTTGTTAAATGGTTTCAGGTCTACTGTTGTTACAGATCAAGATCATCCTCTTTTTAGCACTCTGCCCTGTCCCTCCCGCAAGCATACATGTGCCCTCCTCTCTGGTCCGCTCTGAGCCCTGGCCTCGCGTCTTCCGTGCTTTGCCCCGGAGGATAACAGTTCGTGTCTCTGTCCTGTGTTTGCACGTGCAGCGATTGCTACAGACCATCCTGCTTGCTGCCCATCCACACTTACCCCAGTACAGCCTTGTGAGGCTGCCAGGGAGGAAACAGTGAAGCAAAGAGAGCGCAGCGGGATGAAGCGCTCCTGGTTGTGCTTGTCAGCGCTCATTGCTGGTAGACAAGAGTTCCTCTCACGGGGGTGCGTGTACCTGTTCCTGGGGAGGATGGGGCAGAAGCTCCTACTGTTCCTGCCTAGTTTTGGTTTGAGCGCCCTGTTACAAAGCATGTCGTATCTTGGTCTGCTGTCAACGTATTTTATCAACAGTCCAAACCTCTCAAGATAAACTTCCTCCTTAGTTCCTCTGAAATTTTAAGAACAAAGGTTGTCTGAACCCTGATGCCTTCACGACGACATTTCTTGTTATCTTCTGTAATGAGACAGTGTCTAGAGCCAGGGCTGGCACTGTGATCCTTGCGATGGAGGTGATTTGTTCTGCAGAGCTCTTGCAGTCTGAATTTTGGTTAGAGACACAGACAGCCGTGGGGGGAGCGGAGGGTAAGGGTGTAGTGAGTCATTTATAAATGGTATAATAAGCTCACAGCACATCAGCTGGCTAATTGTTCTCGAGTGTTTTGTAGGTATTATGGCAAAGGTGGGCTTTGGGGAACAATTTAAGGGCTTTAGTCACTAATATCAAAGCGTGTGTGTGTGGTATTTTTGGAACAGCCTCTCAGGTAAACTCCCAGTAGCTTTCCTCTGTCTCTTTACCTTATCTAACATTTCCAAGTCTTTGAAGTGATGCAATCTATCACTAAAATAGCGTTTGGTTAAATGTAATAGAAGAAAAGAATCTGCTAGGGCCTAAAACCCTAAAAATGGCAGTTTCAGGTTTTAATTTTTAATTCCAGGAAGCTGGAGAGCAAAGATTGTTGCTTTTTTTTTTTTTTTATGGCACGAATAGAGGGCTTAAATAGGAGCATTGTATGCTAGTTTTTGAGAATATGGAAAATTCTAAAAAGTGGTAAGGGGTCTAAGTCATGGTGTAGAGATTTAACTCGAGATGAAGCAGTTGCTACTTCAGCTATAAGCCTAGAATTGTACTTAAAGTGTGGTGGTTGTTGCAGATGCAGATGCATGCTTGCAGCTGTTGTTGCTTTGCAGCTAAGGTTCAGTTGTAACATTCCTAACAGCCAGGCTTTTGTTCAGTTGCCTTACTCATCTCAAAGTCTTCACCAGTTCAGATGATTTCCATGAGAGGTGAAAATCAGAATCTGGAAGTCTCCAAGACATGAGGATGGAGAGGAGTTGCAGCCAATTGATGCGTTCAAGTTTCATCCAGCTTTTTTACAGACACTTTTAAATGTTGCCTGAGTAGCTTAGTTTTAGCGTCAAATACTTCTATTTTTGTCTGTGTTAATTTATTGATTTTTTTTTTTTAATTTAAATTACTTTTTTTTCCTAAGTTAATTTAATGTTGATCTAGGTTTGTATGTGATTAGATGTTTTAAATATTCATAACATTTGAGTCTGTTGTCTGCAGTGAAATTGCATGGGGGTGAATCATGTTCACCGTGCCAACTGTGGAAGAAATCATTTTGAAATGTATTACCTTGTTTGCTCAGCAGTCCATTTAACATCCTTTGTCATGTAGTTAACGTGAGGCACAGTAGTCCTTTTCATCACAATCTGTGCTATGAATTGTTAGGCAGCAAACTTTCCAGTTGGATCACTTTCATCATTGTACGTATGGATCTAATCCTTTCTTGGCTATATTTGTATCCGAGTGTGCCTGGTGCTTTAGAAATCAGTATCAGGAGCATTGCACAGATGAATGCCACACCAAGGAGAATACAGAAATCAAATTACATCTTCATAAAAATTGTGTGTTGTGATATGATTAAATGAACTAATCTTGAAGTTCCATCTCAAGCTATAATTTTTTTTTTATTAGGGTTATCTGCCTCACTTTCAAATTAAGCTGATAGAAGGCTCAATTTGCAGGATGCAGTTCAGTGGCATTTTTTTAGTACCATGGAAAGGATTTCTATATGCACAGCTTCTCAGAAGGTGATAATTTGCTTCATCTAAAACTCTTGATAATTTTTTCTTTTTTTTTAGGTTTACTGGAAGTTTAGGTTGTGATTATGTTGTCATTTTCTAAATAGGCTGGCAGAAAATCTGTGAAATACTGGGTTTCTTTTATAATCTCCAATCAAGTGACAGTATTTTTTAACTCAACAGATATCTTGTGTGAAACAAAAATTTTGCTGTTATCTACTGTTAGGGTTTTTTTAATTAAATGTTGCTAGTTTCTACAGTCTTTATTTGCTATTAGGGGTTTTGTACTTGTTTTTAAGCTTCTTGTCACTCAGAAATTTGTCTCTACTAGTTGGAATTCTGGCATGGCTCGGTGTCAGAGTGCTAAAGGGCAATCTTGAATATTTGTCACAAATCTTTGACAAGAAGAAAGTACCGAGGCACAGAGAATCTCAAGAGTAGCACGAGGTTGCGTGAAGAGTCTTTCTTAAAGCAGGGACTTGAATGAGAATTTCCAAATTCCAGTCTTGCGCTGCTTCTCTATGGCATTGTTCCTTTCCTGCTCATATAAAGGTTTTACCTGTCAGAAGTCCTGAATTTCAGCCATTTGTCTGTTCTGAAAAAGACACATGCAAGGTGTATGTGATGTGAGATGGAAGCATTCAGTGTGTAAATTTAATAAGCAGATTTTTTGATATTTATTGTGGTATTACCAGCTGCTGTGATGATAACAGATGTGCTGAACCTTCATGAGTCAGGAAGTCTGAAACATTTGGGTCTGATCTTACTCCACATCAGGGTTTGAAGTTGACAGAACTTCTAATGCAGGTCGGTGCTTTAAAAACTGTATTTCTTAGCAACTAATACCTGAGCATAGGAGTCTACCTTTAGACGTTACAAACAAAAGGCCCATTTAAAATTGTTCAAATTACTTGATTCATCTGTCCTAGGTAATTTTAATTTAGTAAGAGGAGGTGGAGGTTTTGGAGGGCTTTTGTTGTTGTTTTAACACGGTTTTAGTTCTGGGTACTTGAAGCACCTGCTAAAACATTTGCCTGACCTGGTCCTTATTTTGTTGTTTAGGTTAGAAACCTTTTTCTTCCTTCCTATGACTTTGCAGAATACAACCACACATCCTTTCCGTGGTGTCACTCAAGGTAAACTTGAATTTTACCTGACTGCCAACGCTATCTGAAGTTGGCAAAGCACACGTTTGTAACTGATGTTCTGCTGAGGTCCAAGAGGTGCAATGGCCCCCGCGGTTTTTATATTTAAACGGGGGAAGAGTAGCTGTCTTCCCTGCTGCAACTTAAAGGAATGGACAGTTTGCAAACCTCGGGGTGGTTCTGCTGAGGCTTCCAGGAGGGGAGAGGCTGGGGCATAACGGCGGCAGTGAAATGCCCAAGGCGAGCCCATTTGCTGCCCTGGCGAAAGCAGCACTTCCTCCCTGCTGTCTGAGCCTGCCTGTGTCTCATCC